AAATTGTAGCCACATCTTGTCCACAAGGGATACTAGTCAAATCCCAAGCCTTACATGTACAAGCTATCATCTTAAGATCTGCCACCTCCCTCTTTTATGGTCTCCGCAACTCAATCCTTCCATCACCTGTCATATAACATATATAATCCTTGAAGCCATCCTTTGCTCTTTGAAGCTTTCTAATAATTCGATGACATATTGCATTTTGAGATCTCTCCATACCTGCTCTCTTTGCAACCATTTTCTTCATTAGTATCCTTCTAATTATTTCACACATTACGATGATTGGCTTGTTCCTTGCAACCAATATAAAAGAGTTGAATGTCTCTATAATGTTGTTTTGCACAATATCACACTTGGCATTTGTTGAGAATGCATGCTTACTCCAAAGTTTAGGGTCATATTCATCTAATTAGTTAGCAGCGCTGGGCAAGCTTTTTTAGTCGTTTCATATGGTGATTGAACTCTTGTTTAGTTATTGTCTTGAATGCATTTTGTAGCTCATTTTTCAAACTCTTTTCTTTATATTTGAGCTTGAAATTAGCATAGAAATGCCTAACCCGGAACCTATGCTCACATTTCATTGCCTTGAGCACCTCTTGCAACCACTGAAATTTAATCAAATATATCTATAAAAATTGAATAATCAGTTATCACTAGTAAAAAGATAAACATACAATAAATATATTATAAGCAAAATACTTTTTGTATATCTCACAATCCAACCTTTATCTTTACATGAGCCAACGTCCTCAAATAGCAAATTCAAGGACCAATTCCAACTATCCTTGCACTCAAATTCTACAATAGCATATGCTATAGGATACATATTCTCATTTGCATCTTTTCCAACTATAGAAAGAAGGTGGCCTCATGTAGGCTAATCATATGTGTAGATGGTTGTTTCTTGAAAAGATGCACTGAGACACATATAGTCACTTAAATCGTGACCCTTGTGCCTTAACCATTATTGCACTTTTGGGGTTAGATTTCATTATTACTCCATAGCATGCATATATTTTGGCGAATTGCTCCACATCACAACCTTCTTACAATTCTAATGCCATTCATTTTGCTCCACATGCAAAAATTTTGAAATTTCATCATTATAATCCCTTGGCACTTGATTTGCGAATGCTATTGCACTCTAGTTTAGTTGGTCTCTAATGTGTTCAATGTAACTATTTGACAACCAACCTATAGTCACCCATTTGTTTTCTTTTTCCCATCCACAATTGTGCTTCTTCTGGTGAAATGACTTAATTTGAAATGCATCCCTAGCATGAGTTCTTTATGCATATAACCCATTCACAATTTTGCTTGCACTTCACGTCGATTTGTGATGCTTTATTTTTTTTTATATACTCAAACTCAATGTCGTTTTCAATGGCATATTGCTTTAATGCTTGCCTATAAACTTTGAAGTTTCCAAACTTCATAGCAACTTGAAAATTGATAGGTCTTTTACAATCTGTCTTTTCATCAAACTCATTAGATGATTCTCTTTCTATTTGCTGGCCTTCATTATTTGATTCATTATCTGATCCAATTAGACTTGGCAACTCTTCACTATCATCATATAATTAGATTGCACTTGTCCATACCAATCATATCCACTTTGTGCCTCTTCATTCCTCATATCTCTACTCTTGGATCCTTCAAGTGGGTTATCACACAATCATTGATTAACTTCTACTTCTATCTCCTTCATCAAGATTTTCAAATGATAAATCTAGTTGCTCGGTATCACTATCAAAAAATTCTCACCCATTCAAATCAATTTAGATGTTTAATTCCTCTTCAACTCTTTGTTCCTCCTCATATATTAAATTCTCTTCTCTATTAGCCATATTCTTTTTCATTGTTGTCACAATAACCTAACATAAATAAAATATAAACATTGAAAGAAAATTTCATGTGAGATAAGGATGAAAAAGTTAAGTTGATATGATTAAAAAGATAATTTTCGATTAATTAATTCTTTATACTTTGAAAAAAATTCTTTTTCAATTTTGCTTGCATAAAGTTATCCTTTAGTTTTGCCGCTATCAAATAAAGATGAAAAAGTTTTGCTATTATGAAAAAAGAATATATTCTTTAGTTTTGCTGCTATGTGAAGAAGATTACTCCTAATTTTCAATGAAATTTTTTCATATTTTCCATTTAGTAATTTCTTGATTTTAAATTTTCTTGTTGAAGATATACAAAGCAATACAAGAAAACTAACCAAAAATAAAAATTGAAAAGAGCCTAAAATTACAATGTTCGACTAGATTATGAAGTATCTTGATGCACCCACCCTATGAGTATGTTGTGAAAATGGTTATTGGCAGCTTGAAGATGTAAGAATTGAGATAATAGTTTAACTTGATGCAACTAGTAGTAGAGAATCTAGAAAAATGGGGATAAAATCTATTTGTCCATAGAATTATGAAAGCCAAAAGAAAAAATCATGGCCTCACAAATATGATGTTCACCTTGACAATGAATGACAAAGGAAAAAAAAATAGTGATAGATTGATACTTCTTCTTCTTCTTCTTCTTCTTTTTTGGCTAATTGTCGACTCGATCTCCACTCTTAGCTTACTAGCTTTGGTCATGAAATACTAAACAAGATTGGAAGTTTAATTTGACAGCATGAGGATTTCATCAGAATTGAAAGGTAAAAAGCGAGTTTCGGCAAAGAAATACTACAAAATCACTTTTAAATTGAAAACCATGGTTTGAGGTATAAAACCATGGTTTTTCATAAAGTGGAGTTTTTTTGCTTTTGAAGGTATAAAACATGGTTTGTAATATAAAAATAGATAAATAAGAAAGATAAAATATATTGGGATCTTATATTCAAAATCAAATTAAATATCCAATTGGCTCTTATATTAAGGACGAGAAGTAATATTAATTAATTATAACTTTTTTATATAAAATTTATTATTTCAAGTAAAAATATAAATTGAAATCTATTTTTCTATAATTATCATATTAACTTAGGTCTTTTTTAGTAATTTACAAATAAAAAAATAATTATGATAACAACCACTCATACATTTTTACTTTATCAAAATCTTTTTTTTTTTCACAGAATCTATTCTTTTAAAATCTATTCACAAAATCTATACTTTTTAAAAGTACTTTTTGATAAATTGAGACAAATTTATTTACATATTTACTTCATATACCGTAAAATTACCTTTAAAATTATGGTTTGGTTTGGTTTTTATATAAACATCTCTTGAATGAGCAAAAGGTTTTTTTAAATATAAAATGACATTTTAATCCTTCTATAAAAATGATATAATTATTATAAAATGATTATATTAGATGGGATGCCAAACAGGATACGAGGTGTCTTGTGTTGATCTAATGTAGCAAATTTTATGAAAAAGATAACAGTGAGTTGACAAGAAGATGTCCATATTAAAAAAAAATTGAAGAGTAAAAATATTATAACCTCCCTTATATTTTGTCTTAATTACACAGATCTTCCCTCTATTTTAAAAACATACTCTTAAGTCTAAATTGTTAACTTCGTTAAGAATATTCTAAAAAGATGTTTTTTTAATTAAAATTTATGTTGAAATACTTTCTATTCACTAATTTACCCTTTATAATACTAAATTTCTAAATTTTGGCTAAAACTATTTTGAAGATTTTAAGATTTTCTTGTTTAACTCAATTTTATTTTTTATTTTTACAAATTGTTGTTTGTTTATGGGCTAGAAAATTAAGTAATTTAGTTAATGTAAACATAGAAAATATTGAATAGAAATTTGATCAATTTTTTAAATAAATATATAATCAATCAAATTGAATAAGTTATAAATATTTGCAACAATTTTTTTAAAAAAATAAATTATAAATTGAAATGATTTATATAGTTTTTCAAACTCACATAATTTATATATGATAAAAGATAAACATTCAAAATATTTTCTAACCATTTAAATGAAACCTTAAATTTCAATGTTTCAAGAAGAATTTAAATTATATAATTCTATAATATAATCAAAATTAAAAATTTTGAAAATACATGTACTACTTCTGATCTTAAATATAAAATTTAGTTGACTAATTTGAATAGATTAAAGAAATAAGTTAAGTTAGTTATTTGTAATAAATATGTGTTATATTTCCTAAAATATTCTTGTTAATCAAGTGTATTGATTAGAACTACTATTATTCGAAAGATTATCTTGAGAAAAAAATAGATAAATATGAGGGACAAGTGGGATTGGGGTCTTATATTTAAGACCAATATAAAAGTCAAACGAAGTCTTATATTAAGGACTAGATGTAACATTATAATGATTTTTTGTTGTATCAAAAATTATTATTTTTTATATATGTACATGTTTAAATAATGTTTATGTTAAAGAGAGATATTTTGATCAAAATAAAAATTTGAAAGTTAAACTTAATAATTAACTAATTGTTGGATGGATGGAAATGAAATTTTGAAAATACAAGGAAAGTTTGTGTAATATACATTTTAATTTTAAGAAAAATTTATATACATTTTTAAAATAAAAGAGATATTTCTGTAATTTAGGTAGAACAGAGGATAGTCAACATATTTTACTGAGAAATGAGAGATGGGGGTTGAATTTGAACTTTCAAATATTAAGAAAATTTTATGTAACTGGCATATAATTTAGAAGGGTTTTATATAGTTTAGTCTGTTTCTTCGGTTTGAAACTCAAAACAAAAATGCATCAAAGAGACTGATTCATTTAATGAGGCGCTCATGGCATGTGCCCCATCTACTGGGCTGAGATCTCCTGCACCATCTCCTCGTTGCTGTATTCTGGTAAATCTCAATCTTTTGTTACGTGGCAACAACTTAAAGTGGCGCTGGCTGCTTGCAAGTGGGGTCTTGAGATGACTACAATAGTGCCTAAAGCATCTAATCACTCCACCCCAGTTTAAACTTGAACTCAGCCCACATCACATCACCGAGAAACGTTTCAGTTTCAATTTCAATTTCCACCGATCAGTTTTCTTGGCCTCAGCTCTTGCCCGGTGGTCTCGTACCCCCAGAAGAGAACAAAATTGAATTAAAAAAATGTCATGGTTGGCTCACTCTTTGGCAAACTCTCTCCGACTCGAACTCGACGGCGACGACGACGGCGACGGAGCCGATGAATACGATGATGAAGAAAACAACGTCGAACCTCATCGTTCTCACGTCTCGCCAACTCATTCGCCCGGAAACGATCAACGTTATCATCAGCGGCAACCGCACCAAACGCAAGACGATGAATTTGAATCAGACAATGATGCGCAACTTCGAGGAGTCAAAGAGGACCTTGACGAATTGAAGCAAGCCCTAACTCGCCAATTTTGGGGAGTGGCTTCTTTCCTAGCTCCGACCCCAACAAACTCCCACCCTCCTTCTAAACAGACGTTTTCTGATCCCGCGGCATTAACCGGTAATCAATCGGAGCCATCTGATCAATGTGCTTCTGGAAGTGGTGAAGGAATTGATGTGCACGATGGCCTTGGAATTTCCTGGATTGGGCGTGAAGAAATTGAAGGTCGATTCCGTAATGAAGTTCCAGGAGTTTCGTTTACGGCTTCGGATTTGAGTTCGCATGGCCCGGAGTATGTTGAGAATGGGGAATTTGAAATGGATGAGCCTGATCTTAAACAAGCAATTGGAATTACAGAGGAGGCGTTGACCTTCGCGAGAAATATAGCGATGCATCCTGAGACGTGGTTGGATTTCCCTATTGACGAGGAAGAAGACACTGCTGGTGAGTGTGCTTCACTATCAAAATCTCTCTCTCTCCCTTTTTTGTGAGAACGAGTTTTTTCCATTGAAATTCCTGGTGCTATTTGAGTTATTAATTGTTAATTTTAGGAGCTTCCATTGAAATTCTTGGTGCCTTTTGAGTTGTTAACTATTCCTTTTTCGACATTAGCTCAGTTTTATTGCTGTCTCTGGAAATGCCTCGCAAACTTATTTTGTCCCCGAGATGTGGTTTTCTATTATGGCAATTATCTGCCTCTCACGGGGTTCTGAGTTCTGCATGGAAGTGTATGTGAGCTGATTTGATTACACATAATGTTTTGCTGGGATGAACTTGAATCCCAAAAAAATAATCCAGTTGACAGTAATTGACAAATTTGAGATACTGTAAACAAATGTTGAAAAATCTGTGGAGTTGTGAAATCACATCATTTACTCTTTTGTCATCCGTTATGCATATCAATTGCATGATCATTTTGGCTGTCTGCCACAACTCATGCTACCGAATGACTTGCAGATTTTGACATGTCTGATGCTCAGCAGGAGCATGCTTTTGTCATAGAGAGACTTGCTCCACGGTTAGCTGCACTCAGAATTGAACTGTGTCCTTGCCATATGAGTGAAGGTTACTTTTGGAAAGTCTATTTTGTACTTTTGCATTCTAGACTTAATAAACAAGATGCTGGAGTCTTGTCTACTCCCCAGGTAAATTACTATGGGTGTTTTCTGCTCCATTTATGTTGACCTTTTTGACGCCATATGTGACAACCTATTGGAAGATTCCATTAGTGAAGTCAATTTAAGATGCATTGGTTAGGTATTTTGTTCCCATTTAGTTACTTGGGCCTTTTGAGCCGGAATGAATGTTGTGGTGTATTTCTTAGATGGAATATGCTCACTATCTGTCTGTAGGATTTTAGTCTTAAATTTTGTCACTTCAAATATGATCTTATCTATCTGTAGGATTTTAATGTTAAATTTTGTTATTTTAATTTTGCAATATAAGATAGGAGGACCAGTAATTGCTAAGCCCGGGAACAGTCTTACAAAGTGCTAATAATTCATTTAGATAATGAAACGGAAGAGTTAATGGAATTAGAAATTTAGAGTACTGTTTCAAGAAACAGTTCCTTTGGTTGATGTACTTAGTGCTCACCTTTGTCAGACTTAACCTTTGAATGCAATTCGAAGTTCTTGTCCTTGGTGTAGCATTACATCTTTCTTGAATTTTGGGATTCTTGATGGGTGTCTTGTTTGTCCATTGTTATTGAAAAAATTAAAATAAAATAAATACACAGCCATGTCAGGCAGAAGATTAATGGAGGTTTCTATGCAATGCTTCACCCAATCATCTTCTTCTTCTTCCTTTTTTTTCCCCCGTGCTTCTGCTTATATGATGAGTTTCCTTCAATTTGAACATTTTGTTGTGTTTGCTCCAGTTTTGTAGACCTTTACCTCTTCTGTGGTATTGTTCTCGGTTTGACCGCAACTCATCTTTCAAAAGGAAATGTGAATGCTCATTGGAACACTTCATTTAATTTAATAATTTTTCCTTGCATGTTCTCTGGCTGTCATAGTTGTTTCAGTCAAAAGTACCTATGATGGTTCTGGCTTTAGTTTGTCTTTATTATTATTATTATTATTATTATTATTTTAGAGTTGGTTAACTCAAAGCAGGCATCAAATGATAATTGTGTTTTAGGATTAGATGTTAATGACTAAATTAATAAGTATGAAAATATAGAAGAGCAGGTTTATATGAGAGGAGATTATTTGCAAAGACAATTATTTTAACTTCAGCCCGGAAAGAGTTAGCTTCATTATAGTTAAGCTATGAAGGTTTGCTTTTTTCTAGAAGTTTAATGCAGTGTCTTGTGCCTAATGGTTAGTTCCATTCAGTGATCATCATGTAATAAATGCCTTAAAAAGTCACTTCTCAAAAGTTTGAGGCTTTAGTTAGTGGAGAGATTGTTGCAACATTGTTTGTTCTAATGTCTGCAGGTTATGACAGCCAGAGCAATGTGGATGCAGGAGTTGCAGAAGCAAACCAAGCCTGAATCTGAATGGTATGGTAGAAGCACATCCTGTGTAAGAGACATTGCTTCAGATGAGGATCTTCGTCCTAGCATATCTGATTATACCATGTCTCATGGGACACATGGATACGAACCAATCAGTTGTCCCACAGTAGTGGATTATGAGTCTGAGAAGCACACCATTGAAAGTTCTGAAACAGTTTTTACTGATAAGTCTGTCATTGAGGAAAAACCAATTGTTAAAACTGATGACAAGGGATTAACAAGTGATAGATCTTCAAAAATTGCCGTTTCAAACCATGAAGATGGTGAGGATGAATGGCCTGAGGAAGATTCTGAATTGGAGGGAACCATCATCCCAATGGTTAATGAAGACATATCTTTCAGTGATCTCGAAGATGATGATTATGGCATAAAACATGTTAAATCCAAAACAGATCCAAAGACAATATGAAATTTCAATGCAAAATACATGTCTGTTGTGGAAGTGAGAACACTGCAGTGTCCCTGGTGTCGGGGGTTAAAAAGCTGGCAGTGGTGTCTTGGGCACCAAGACAAGGTCAGGGACATTCTGGTTTCACTATATAATGATGTAGAAACATTTGTCGGAACATCGCACGAAATATTGACATATCCAAGTGTAAATTCAAAACCACATTCGTCCTTGTCTTCAATTGTTCATAAGAGTGAATATCCAACTGGAACATAAGATGGATGTTTGAAGCCAGAACCATATTTTCGGCTAATTAGACTTGGAAACTTTATTAGCGGAGTTCAGGATAATACTTGGCTTGAACAGATCTCAACAATGCTGTTGCTACCAGCGAACCGAAAATTTGTGTTTGATGTCACCGGGAGAGTGACATTGGAAACAGTTAAATCGTTCATGGAGTTTCTGTTATGGAGGATAACAGATTGAATGAAAAGTTCATGATGAGACTTTTGGCAAAGGATTGGTACTTGTCAGATACGCGGGCGCCATCTTGCAATGTGTTTACATATTCTTGGTGGTAGTAAGATTGTGGTGCTTGCCTGGTTTGATGATTATTTCAAACTGATAAAGTGCAGTGCTTTTGGAATCTAAGGACAACAAAAATTGGATGTTAAACGCATATGTCCTTTCCAGGACTTTTAAATGGAGTTGCGCTTGGCAATAATGTTTAGCTGTCTCCTTTGCCATACTGAAAATCTGAAATGGTTTGATTAGTGTTTAATGCTCTTAATGTTTAATATGATGCATGCATGCAATATTTGTTGAGTTCAATGTCTCATTGTGCAAAAATTAGGGTCAATCTTTAGAACGTATCGAGGGAAGTCAAAAGAACTAAACCAAGCAGCTCTATAATTGTCATTTTATGGACAATCCATGTAGATCTATGTATAAAATGAATGTGTTGCTCTACAACAGTTTATGAACGCAAAGTCAACCAATTTTACCTTGCCTTGAAATATTTCCTTCTCCCTTCTCCTGAAGAAAACTCGGTTCCGATATCACGGTATCTTTCTTTCTTTCTTTGTTTTTCCCAACTCCAATCATACAACTTAGGGAATTAAAAATCCTTTGATTAGGCAGTGAATTAAAAATTGCTATAAATTATAAGCAGTAGACGATTAATTCGGGCAAAAACAGTTAAATACCCCTAAAATATTGAATACTTAAAAGAGTACTAAATTTACAAAATACAGGACAAATCCAAAGGCACTTATTTGAGACTTTTAGAATTCGGTGAATTGACTTTGGGTGTGTTTGGATTAGCGGTGGGAGAAGTAACTTTTTTTCAATCTGACTTTTACAAAAGTCAGATTGGGTAAAAGTCAGATAGGATAATGTTATTTATGTTTGGATTGGATTTTGTAAAAAAGTCAGTTTGAGAAATGTAAACTTGTTTGGATGACTAATAAAAAAGTTAGTTTATATGTAAAATGAACAAAAAGGATATGAATTTTATTAAGTAATACTACTTCCAGTCCTTAGTATAAGAGTTAGTTTTGATTTTAAATTTGATTCTAAATATAAAACAATAACTATTTATTATAAATAACTAATTTAACTAACTTTTCTAGTCTCTCCAAATTAATTAACTAGCTCTTATATTAAGAATTGGAGGTAGTACATATTTACTATTAAATGTATATAATGTGACAATTGTAAAAAAAAATCAAAATAAAATCATTTAAAATAAAAAATTAATTTATTATTAGAAAGAAATTAAAAAATGCTACCTTTCCACGGCACTGTTACTTTCCACCGGTAAAAGCAGGATTGAAGAGCTTCTTCCATAAGTCCATTTGAGATCTAAAAGTCAGATTATATAAACGTTGTGCCAAACACTACATTTTCTGAAAAAGCACCGTTTGCCATTTGAATCGCACGTTTTGGTGTCCAAACGTGAATGCAAACAGGCCCTTTATTAGGCCTCATGTTAAATAAAATGCAAAATGTGGTCCTACTACCTTTTGGTTCCAAAAATTACACAACCATTGAGTTATTAAAGCTTCTTAATAATAATTTCACCAAAAAAAAAAGCGCTCCTTAATAATATAACGCAAAATAATATATAAGTATCAAAATTTCGAGATATATATAATAATAATTTAAACAACTCCATGTACATCGATTTTCACAAAACAAGCTACTAGAGCAAGACTAACTAATGGCAAGTAATTTGTGCTGTACATTGATAAGTTCAAGTGGGGACTTACTTGAACTCATTCTCTGTACTCATTAGGGCTATTCACGAGATGGATCGGGATCGGATAGGCTCGTTCTGGTTCCGTCCCGATGAGCAGTACGAGACAGAAAATCTGTCTCATGTTCCAACCCGTCCCGGGGTTGTCCCGGTCCTAGCCAGGACGGGACGGATCCAGGACGTCCCAAAGTTTTTTTTAATTTTTTAAAATTTTTTTAATAAAATATGATTTTTTTAATTATATTTTTTGGGCTTAAACCTTATAAAAACATCTTTTTATTTTCTTTTTTATTTGTTTGGGAACTCTTAAACAAAAGCCCAAAATATTACATATAATAGTCATTAAAAACTCTAAACAAAAGCTTTTAACACAATAAAAACTTGCTAAAAATTCTAATCATCAATAATAGGGGTGTTCACGGGACGGATCGAGACCGGGATAGGCCCGTCCCGGTAAACAGTAACGGGACAGATTTCTGTCCCGTGTCCCGGCCCGTCCCGGGGTTGTCCCGGTCCCGGTCGGGACGGGACGGATCCGGGACGGGACCGAGACGTCCCGAAATTATTATTTTTAATTTTTTTTAATTTTTTTAATTTTTTTAAAAAATCTGATTTTTTTAATTATATTTTTTTTAGCTTAAATCTTATAAAAACATTTTTTTATTTGTTTGGGCACTCTTAAATAAAAGCTCAAAATATTACATATAATAGTTATTAAAAACTCTAAACAAAAGCTTTTAACACAATAAAAACTTGCTAAAAATTCTAATCATCAATAATCTCAAATCATTAACAAATATAAAAACTTTAAATAAATATATCCATAGTTCCATACAATAGTCTCAAATCTTAAAAAAAAAATGAAAAAAAATGATATTATATAAAAAATTAATTTTTTTTTAAAAAAAGGAACCGGGACGGGACGACCCCGTCCCGTCCCGGTCCTTTTTTGTCCCGTCCCGGTTTGTCCCCGTCTCGAAAAATTTCGGGACGGATCCGTCCCGTCCCAATAAGACCAGGACCGGAACGGGCCGACCGGGAGGGCCGGCCTTGAACACCCCTAATCAAAATATCAAATGATTAACAAATATAAAATTCTAAAAAAATATATTTATAATTCCATACAATAGTCTCAAATCTTAAAAAATATAGAAAAAATGATATTATATAAATAGGATAAAACAATTAAAAAATTAAAAAAAAAGGGAACCAAGACGGGACGATCCCGTCCCGTGTCTTGTCCCAAAAAATTTTGAGACGGGTTTTCGGGACGGGTTAGTCCTATCCCAATAAAACCGAGACCGGAACGGATCGACTGGAACGGGCTGGCCTTGAACACCCCTAATACTCATCACTGAATTGTTATTGTCATTTTTTAAGTGGACATTGTTATTGTATTAGCTATTATTATAATCTTATAATTTATATGCAGGTTCTTGTTTAAACTTGTCATTCGCTAAGTTATTTTTATGATTTGTTAAGCGAAAATTGTATTCACTTAGGTATTTTGTTATTCATGTCATATCTTTGCTTGAACTTGTTATCGACTTGTTTTTGTCATCTATTAAGTACAAGTTGTCATTCACTTAGCTTGTTTTGGATTAGCGATGAAAATTGTGGTTTTTATTTTATTCCACTTTTGGCAAACTTAAAATAGAGTAAAATTCAGTTGTCATACTAAAATTTATTTGAATGATTAATGAAAAAGCAAGTTTAGGTGTAAAATCATTTATAAAAAACATGACTTTTATTAAATAATTATATATGTGTGTGTATTAAGATGGTGTAGTTGCTTTGCCTTTGTCCTCGTCCATAATGTAATGGTCTTATTAAAAAACAATCTATGAAGGTAAACTTACAAGAAACTTGCACGTTCTATCACCCAATAAAAAAAAAAACGAAAGACAACTTGTAGTTGACCAAACAAAAAAATTAACTCAACTAATAAAATGAAAATTTACCACCTTCATTATACTTTCACTTAATTTATTTTAAATAAAGCCAGTGAACGCAATAAACAAAACTCGACTAGAAGGGAGAACACTTGAGATTAGTCTTGTGAGGCACAAGAGAAAGAAGGAAGTCAGGACAGAAGGATTGGTAAAAATTTAAAAAGCCAACAACCGCAAATTTAGTAGAAGTACAAACCGCAGGAACACCTCCTTTTTTGCTTAACGCTTCAAAGTCAGATTGGCTCCCAGGTATTTTCTTTTTCAAAAAAATTTAAGCCAATCCAAATATGATGAAAAAAGTGCTTGGCTGAAAAAGTGCTTGGTTGAGTCAAAAGCACTTTTAAAAATGTTTTCTCTCACATATTTTATACGATGTAAAATTATTTTAAAATTATGAATCGGTTTCTATCCAAACATTAAAAGAAAAAAAAAAAAAAAGGCCAAAAGCAGCTTTCCGGATGGGAATGATGTGACTTTTCTTTACTCTATCGTGATTCCAAATACATTTTTAATTGTTATGTAGTCTTTTATATGCAAGTCATTGCTGGAACTTGTCAATGCATAATATAAATCACTAAGCTAAACTTAATCATTTAAATGAAAGTTGCTATTCTCTTTGTTGTTTAACCATTTATATATCTAAAATATGATAGTTATCTTATATACTACTTCTAGTCCTAAATATAAGAGTTAGTTGACTAATTTATGTAGATTAAGAAAATAAGTTAAATTGATTATTTGTCATAAATAGGTGTTGTCCTTGTTAATCAAATATATTAGTTAGAACTATCATTATTAAAAAGATAACTTTGGAAAAAATGAATAAACATGAGAGATAAAGTGGATTGAGATCTTATATTTAGAACTAAAATAAAAGTTAAACAAAGTTTTATATTAAAGACTGTAAGTAGTATTAGTTTGCACAATAATTATTTTTTTTAAACTGAAAAATAATGGAGCCAAATTTCACTTTGACCACCTTTTGCCAGAAATTTTTTAGAGATGGGAGTTTTTCTTTGCCACGTGAGGGATATTAGAGTCAATTTACCAAATTTTGAAATCCTAAATAAATAAGTGCTTCTAAGGGACTGTTAAAAAAACTAAGAAAAATCACTTTTAGGCTCCAAAGTATGGTTTTACCTCAAAATTATCCAAACACCTATCAGTGTGTTGGATCACCGTTTCAATGAAAAAATGTGCCTGGGACTATGTGAAACGCAAGTTTGAGGCTTATGTCCAGATTGACATTTCAACCAGCTTTTGGAGGAAAAGTTCAGTGAGGGACACGCTGGAAATTTTAGCTTTCTCTGTTTCTAACATGAAGAGAGAAACAATGAAGATAAAAAGAATGATCAGAGCATTTAAGTGAGTCATAGCTTAATCGAATAATATGATTTTTTTTGGGTAATAATTTAATTATTTTTCATTTGTTATTCTCTTAATATCAAATTATATACATGTGATGTACTATAATAGGTTTTTAATATAAAACCTAGTGGATTAATTTGAAAAGATTATGGAAGCTAAATAAATGACTTGATTATATAATATGTTACATGATCTTTCTAAAATATTTATATAAAATCACTAGATTATAAATAAATTTATAAGTCGGGTAAATTAGTTTGGATAAAACAATACCCTTTTCAATCATTTTATATCTGAACTTACTTTTTTATTATTTATCTAAGTTTTAATTTATCAAACTGACTTTTATAAAAGTCAATCCAAATATAAATCACATTACACCAATTGACTTT